CATTTAACAAAGAATGTCAGATAAGAAAGAAAAAGTAGAAACTAAAGTTAATTAAAAATGTATTTGCTGCATGAAGTGAGAACTGTGCCTGGCCAGAATACAGAAATGGTGCTTTCTACCTTAATCAGTTTCATGGAAAGTTAAATGGAGTTTTGTGGTAGAAATGTCACTTGTCCAGAGTAAGGATAAATAAACCAAAGAGGTAGCACAGTCTGCCAGGTTTAACCCTGAATTTCCTCATCAATCAGTGCCTTCTCAGATACTGTGTTAGACTTCTGACTACCACCTGGATCCTGCAATAGCTTCGAGGCAGTGCAGTCCCTGCTTGGAGATGGGAAATAGGAAATTCATGGTGTATATTGAAAACAATCCAGCCCTTTGAACTCGCAGTTTTTATGACCTTTTACAAGCTCCTTCCAGGAACACAAATACATTGTTCATATTTGATCAGGCCCAAAACAAGCTGTGTTCAGGACTGGAATTTGGGGGGTGGGGAGAAGGCAGAAACAAGGCAATTGTACCTCTTGATTCCATGTTAAACCAGTGACATTTAAAGGCAACCAGGGTAGCAGTTGCCAGCCTGTTTTTATGAGCTGCTCTGAGATAGAAGCTCCACAGTGAAGGTCACTGTGCTGGAAGCAGAGATACGAACATTTTAACATCTCTCTACTTCTGCTTTTTTGAGTCTCTTTATATCCAATAGTCTCTTCCACCCCTCACCTATTTTCTACAGAAAATGCAGTTTGCGGAAGCCATCAGCATCCTCAGGTTCCAGGGAGGCTCCTGAGCCCCAGAGTGTGATGAGTGACAGCACTGTCTGCTCCAGCCCCCCATGTCCACAGGGGTCACGTGAAAAAGCATTTACTTTCTGTGACTAGAAGCAAAATTGGCCCCTGTGACCACAAAAACATGTCAGTCTAAAAGAAAAATGAGAAGGAAAATAAATTTGACAAAATCTAAGAATAGAGTGTTGAACAAGACTTATTTCTGCCAGAGGATTTAGGGGAGAGATTAATATTACTTAAATATGGTAGGAATTTCATGTCACATCAAGTATGTTACAGTGCTTTTACATCAGCTCAAAGTATGTCTCATCACACATGCTTTGTGTGTGTAAATTTGGAAGTTTTTGCAGCTTTCTCCTCTCCAAAGGTAATCTGCACTGCCCTAATTTCTGAGTGGATTAACTCCAAACAGGAGTGAAGGCTCCTCAAGCAGACATTAGAAAGTATTTTGGTCATTCAAATAGAGGAGCTGCTAGTCATTTAAAAATATTACAGGGAGAATTTACAGACATTCTTAAACGTAATCAGCTACACAGTGCTGGAACCACTTAGGGGATTTCATGAGTTCCTGTAAAACACAGTTCAGCAACATCAGCAGAGGTCTGGCACTGGCAGCCCTGTGAGTGACAGTGTCTGCACAAAGCACCAGGCGCTCACCCACCGCTCACCGCCCGTCCCCGCCGGGCTCAGAGCTGCTTTCACACCTGGGGGATTTGGGCAATAGCGGGCTATGAGAATGGGACTCAGAGATGACAGAGGTGGCTGTCCCTTCAGGAGGAATTCTGCTGGTTTCATCCAATGGAGAAACTCTCCCACACTCCTCCTGGCTTACCTGGGAAGGTGCTCAGGAGTCAGGAAGGGGACTTCAGAGCTTTCCCTGCCACCATCCCCTCGAGGATGGCCTAGGAAGGAAGTCACTTGTACAAAGTGATGGAGAGCCCCTGTTACAGAACAAATGCTCCTGTGTTTTGGTTTATCCTACATTAGAGGGATTTTCTAGTAAAACCTGATTTGGAACTGGCATACCATGGAAATGCCATAGGAGCTCTCCACCAAAACAACTAACTTCAGTTTGCCCAACTGTTGTTACCTATCTGCCATGCAGACTGCTGCAGCAAAAAAATAAAGTCATCAACTAAACACAGCCTTTACTTTAAGCACCTGAATAGTTTCCCTGATTTCTGAGAACTGCTGGATGATGCTGTAGGATCAGCAACTGCAAAGTGAGCTTCTCCCCATGACATTCCTGTCGTTCATCACCTGTTTGGGGTAAGAGTGCAGGGAGGTGAAAGCTTTTGCTGTGCAAGTCCCTTCTGCTAGCAGGATTGAATCAATAAATGACTTCAAATGTTATCATCCTAAGAGCAAGATGATTTGCACAGAGTACTTACTAGTGAGTGTAGAGCACCATAGTCCCTCATTAGAGTTTTAGTGGAACTGGAGAACATAAAAGAGTCTTGAATTACTCTAACTTAAGACTGTGAAAAACACACTCTTGTGTTTCTTATTCCTTACTTTAATTGAACACAAAGATATCAGCACTTCAGTGTCAGCTGCTACACATAAAATCAAACTTGGAGGGTAGTAAATACAGCAGAACTGAAGGTTTAGTGTTATATATTGAGAGAACCATTCAAGATAGAATTGTCTTAACCGACACTACTACTACAATAACAACCTTAAATTTATTAAAATTGAACTAAGTTTAAATGCATCTGCCTTTCCTTTTCATTTTTATTACGTATTTTTTATCTCTAAGAAACAAAACTCACTTAACATAAACTGGGTATTTTCACTTTCCCAGCTGTTGTAAATTTTCACAATGTTGCAATTTCAGAAGAAATTTTTAAACATCAATTTTAATAAAAACTTGAGTAAAAGTGTTTAAAACACGATTTGCCGCTAGTCACTTGATATAAAAATTACTTGTTTTGATCATGTTTATCCAATAGGAGCTTTCTAATCAATCCTTGTACAGAGGGCACAAAGTCATGGAATTGCCTCTCTAGCAGAAAACCAACTTAACCCATTCCTGGGATTTGACTGAAAGACTTGTGCTGCTGAGCAGAGTGGCTGCTGGATTTACTTCCTCAGGTGTGTCTGTCCTGATGGCCTTTCCCTGCCTTCTTCATGTCCTGGTAGGTGGAGCACTGCGTGGGGACTCTGGCAAAGTGACAATAAAACCCCCTGCAGTGATAGGTGCACATGTGAAAAAAGAAATAATGCTGGATGAAGCACACTGAGCTTTTTGGGTGAAAAAGCAAAGTGTCAGTAATTATTAGACTGTTTAATTAAATTGTGTCTACTAGTTATTATAATGAGTATCTATGATTAGCAGGGGCTAGCCCCACCTGCCTGGGGAGCTGGGCCCTGCCTGGAGCAGGATTTAGGCTCCCAGGAAGCAATCTGGAGAAAGGCAAGTTGCTCTTCAGGCAAATTGTCATAGACCTGCCAGACACAGGATTTGTCACCTGACAAACACACCAGACACACCTCCTGTCACAGGATTTAAGTCATGGTAAGATCAGTAGGAATGGCTGAAAATGCTTTGAAGAAAAAAATTTCCAGCAAGAAATAGTGATTTGATGTATTTGGGTATTCTTCAGGACTTTGTGAATTTTACTGGAAGTTCCTGATGGAAACCTTGCAGAGCTGGGTTTTCCTAGCAGGGAGGCAGCAGCTGGCAGGGTCCACCAGAGCTTTTTCTGACAGGACAGGGAGGTAGGTAGCTGGGGAGCTAGAGACTAGATCAAAGCTGGCCTGATTTAGTTATTCAAAAAGTGAATGTTCCCAGGTATTTTGTTCTGTAGAAATCTTCATATATCCAGCTAACACATCATGCTTTTTTTTTTTTTATGGTATAGAATGAAACCATTAAAAACATAAAGGAACTTTTCTGCAGATCTTAAAACACACATCCCAGGCCATCATAAATAAAGTCGTGGCTGAACAAAATGGTGACTTTTAATGGAACTGGGGGAGGGGGAAATTTTAGAAATGCACCTCAAATGTATTAAAATACAGTTCTCTCACATTACTTACTGCAAAAATCAAATTCTGCTTGTGATTTATACTCACTGTCATGACTACTGATGACTTTTGACGCTTCTATTTTTTAATCGGGACATTTGCCTGAAAACAGCTTATCCATGGAAACGTTTTCTTGTTATGATACTGTTTTCTAAATCAATAGGATTGGGTTTGTTGGTTTGTTTTTTGGGTTGTTTTTTTTTCCCTTTATGTATTTTAACAAGAAGCCAACGCAGTGATTTGGGAAGGCTGACAGCAGGCGAGCTGCCCGGGAGGAGCCCCGGCCGTGGATGGGGATGCCGCAAACAGCAGCGGCTCGCTCGGTGCGCTCTCAGGTGCCCCGCAGGTAGCGGCGCGGGC